CTGTTTAAGATTAACCACAAGAAATAAGTTTAAATTTACTTATTTAAAAATGCTGATATTGCAATGAATGGTAATTGAAATTAATATTTGAGATTATATATTTGAAAAAATGGTTTTATTAAAATTAATTATTAATGAAGAAATAAAAAAAAAATCTTTTCTAAATTTGTATATGGTAAACGATTTGTCTTCTTTTTTTTAATTTGATTTTTTAGGTCACCTGAGTAACTCAGGTGACCTATTGCTATCCGTTTTCGTCCGTTGTCGTGCGTCGTGTGTCGTGTGTTAACATTTGAACATTTTCAGCTTCTTCTCTGAAACCACTGAACCAATTTCAACCAAATTTGGTATACAGCATCTATGGGTGGAGGGGAACAAAAAATTGTGAATTTCATGGTCCCCGCCCCCCTGGGGCCTGAGGGGTGGGGCCAAAACCACTAAAATTAATGAAATCTTTAAAAATCTTCTTCTTTACTCCTGGACATCAAGCAGGCAAACTATTGGCACGAATGTAATGAGCATTGAGTCCTCTACCAAAATTGTGAAATTCATGGCCCCAGGGTCAGGGGTTCTAGTGCTAGGGTTGGGCTGTATAGATTATAAAGTGAAAATGCATTATTTCTTTGAAAATCTTCTTCTCTGCTCCTGGGTATTAAATGCACTAACTAAGCACATAGTTATGATGAGCAAGAGTGCCTCTTCCAGAATTGTGAATTTCATGGCCCCAGGGTCAGGGGTTCTGGTGTTAGGGCGGGGCTCTATAGATTATACAGTGAAAATGCATTATTTCTTTGAAAATCTTCTTCTCTGCTCCTGGGTATTTAATAAACAAATTAAGCACATAGTTATGATGAACAAGAGTGCCTCTTCCAGATTTGTGAATTTTATGGCCCCAGGGTCAGGGGTTCTGGTGTTAGGGCGGGGCTCTATAGATAATATAGTGAAAATGCATTATTTCTTTGAAAATCTTCTTCTCTGCTCCTGAGTATTAAATACACTAAATAAGCACATAGTTATGATGAGCAAGAGTGCCTCTTCCAGATTTGTGAATTTCATGACCCCCGGGTCAGGGGTTCTGGTGTTAGGGTGGGGCTCTATTGATTATATAGTAAAAATACATTTATTCTTTGTAAATATTTTTCTTTGCTTCTGGGTTTTAAGCCAATGATCCAAGTATATATATATTTATGATGAAGAAAGGTGCATCTAACAAAGTGGTTTTTAATGCCCCCAGGGTCAAGGGGAAGGGGGTGGTTACATAGCCTGAAAATAAATTAATGCTTTGAAATCTGCTCTTTGGTATTAATCAACCATTTTATGATAAAATTTGCAAAATTTTGAAATATATGGCCCTGGGTCAGTGGTTCCTTTGGGGTGAGGTGCACAACTGGTTATAAAGTGGAAGTGCATTTTCTCTTTGTTACTCTGATCTACCTCTGGGTATTAAGTAAATAGAGTAAGCATGCTAAGTTAATAATTATGATAAGCAATGGTGCCTCTTTCAAAATTGTAAATTGTGAATTTCATGGCCTCCGGTTTAAACACGAACCAAATTTAATTGTTTGAAAGTTGTTGCACAATACTCAGGTGACCTATAAGGCCCGTGGGCCTCTTGTTTAAAATTTATTAGAAATTTTAAGTGTCAATTTTAATATACTTTGTATCACAGATGAATTTTATGGCCCCAGGGGTATAACAATAATCTCTGAAAATAGTCTATTTTTAGCATTTCACACTGTTTTTGCACGTACTCCTGTGTAAAAATAAGCATACAAAGGTATTGTTTTTAATACCTAAAAATTAAGAGCAAGTGGTCAGGAAAGAAAATATGTCAAAGTTTGAAAATTTCACACAAAGACTTTTCGGACATAGGTCCCCCTTAAAGCAAAATTTTCTCTAACAGATACTCTATTTTATTATTCAAACATTTTTTTGTTCATTAAGAATTCGTTTGAGCATATTTTATTGCATTAGTACTCTACAAATGGTTTGAAAACAAGTTCTAACAACTTACGAGGTTCTCACCATAAAATGCTACAACATATCGTCAATGTTTATACATGGGAAGAAAAAAACCTATTGATATAAGAATTAAATATAAGTTTTGCATGGACACTTTATGTATATCTAGTAAACTATATAAATCAGATTATATTATATTTTTACCATCAATTAATTTTTTATAGTACATGTATACATTTAAACTCAATTCTTTTCATTCTGAGTATAATCTCTTTATCAGAAAGATTTAATCAAGTAATGATCCAAATACATTCAATAATTTTAGTGTATTGTCAAAAAAAAATCTCTCTGTAAATGGATGATTTATATATTTTTCACTTTTTCCCAAGAAAATCATTTTTTTTTTTAAATTCTCTTTACATAAAACATATAAATGTACCGGTATGCATATTGAAATTATTAATATGTAGAACCTGATTAATTAATAATTATGTTATAAACCAAGTACTTATTATATGTATTTTGATATTGAACTTATACACCACAGGTAAATATTACAGATAAAAAGCCTAAAACAGACTATACACAGGTGACCACTCAGGTGTGAAAATCCCAATTTTGGCTAGATGGGAATAAGAATTTCAGAATTTTGGCTAAGTGGGAATAAACCGCCCATGCAGTCATTAGGAATACACAGTCAGGTGAAAGTTATAAGGTAAAAAATATTGGTACCAAAAAAAAAATGTCTCGTTACAAGGAATTCATGAATAAATATGAAATTCCTAGCATCAACTGTTCATCAAAAGTTATAGGATAAGTTTTTACCAATGTAGTTCATCTCAAAGGTCTGCTGGGTCAGGAGGTCAAACATAGTAGTATCCAAGAGAAAGTCTTGTCACAAGGAATAAACATTTGATAATATTACTGGTATATAAAATCCCTAGCAAAAACCATTCAAAAATTATGGCCAAGCTAGGTAAAAGTTTTCAAAACAGGTCAATCTCCAAAGGCAAGGTAAAATCCTGGTACCCAAATAAAGGACTGATCACAAGGAATATAACATGTAAAATATAAAAACCATAGCAGTCCAACCATTCAATAGTAATGAGCAAGGTTTAAACTTTTGCGGAAGATAAATAGACTAAGAGACAAACAGATGGACAGACGCCCAAAAACTACATACCCCAAATCTTTGATTACAGGGGTATAAAACATATTAATGCTTTCATACATTGCTCTGACTTTTCCAAACATAAAGTCTCTAAATCTTTGGGTTCAACAGTTATCATTAAGAAGTTTTGGGAGACAGACAGATCATAACAGATGGATTTTGAGATAGGACAAAAATAATGCAACTGATATTTGATCTCGAGGAACATTCACATTTACCTTTCTCAGCATCATCCTCCTGAATCTGTTTACAAGCTTCAAAAATTCTCTCAAAGATAAATTTAGATTTTGTCTCCATGAGTTCTGTGAAAACTGTACATCTTTTCTTCTTGATGATATGTTTAATGAGTTTCTCACACATTGACTGTCTACTCTGTTTTTGACAAACGTACTCAGCTTCCTCTATTTCACTCACTATATCCTGTTGTCTTAAAGCATCTTGGAGATCTTCATAAATAATGTTATTTTTAAGGAACACAAATGATTTCCTGACTGCTTTCCCATACTGGCATTCTGAAATGGATTTTTTTGCAACTTCAGTGGTACAAAAAAATTATTCAAACTAAAGGCCCATGGGCCAGAATGCTCACCTTATTCCTTGATGACAATTCCAAGTGGAATTTCTGTTTATAAATTCCAGCTACCATATTTTACCCCTAAACTAAATTCAGCAAGACTTTGATGACCCAAATCTGTTAAAAGGCAGAATCTCAGAGATGGAATTTCAGAAAGTTCTGTCTCCTCTTGTATAAGGCCCTCTAATTTGTGGATTCCAAGCAGAGTACGCTTGGTGTCCACCCAAATTATGGGCAGAATCAGTGTACACGTATTGTTCATACAGGTTACCAGTTAATAATTATCTTTACGCCTGCAATTTTACTAAGAATTCCATCTTGATTAGGCCTAAAATAAAATATTGTTTGTTTGCAGTTGCCGACCGACCCATTGAAAATGCACTCGACCCAAACTTTTTTTGGCCATTTTGTAATATATTTTTTTTCTCAAATTTTTCAGGATATTAAAACTGTTTTATTTTCAATTTTTGTCTTCATCAGTCAGTAGTTTATACCAAGACTGCAGCTTATTCATGTATAGTAGACCTATGAAAAACTCTATCTTATGTTATCTAACAAAAATCTGAAAACAATTTTTTTTTCAAAAAAAAAAAAAAAAGATTGCCTACCTACCTACCCAATCTAAAAATGATATGTCGGCAACTGCAAACAAAGAATCTTTTAAGCTTGGCCTTAAGCCTGTTTTCCAGGTAGAACATATTTTTTACAGGAATGTTTTGAATCAAATTCTACAATACCCTTGGAAAATCACTGGATATATAATGACAACTAGCTCCTTCAAGTGATACACAGAAATTGACAAAATCTACATTGTTATTGTCAAGTCTTTGAAACAGTAGCATATTTGTTTTTTTTTCAAGATTTATGTACAGCAAATCTCGGTTAAAACGAAGTTGCTGGGACCTATGTTACTTTGCTATATCTGTAATTCGTTGTATTTGTTCATTCATGAAATTTATGTAGCTGGGGATCCAAGATGACTTCGCTATATCCATGAATTCGCAATGTCCATGTTCGTACTAAACGAATTTTACTGTATCCAGTGTGGCTTAAACTGGTATGGTAAAATGAAATTTCAATGTTATTGTTAAATGATATTTTCTTTAAAAAGAAGTCAGAATTTGATATTTTTTAAAGTCTGTGAAGCACTTTTGTGGAACTGATTTTGAACAAAGTCTTATTAAAACAGTATCAAGTACCAAGTTTTGTTGAAATCAATTCATTAATCTGTAGGGGGAATAGAAGACTCACAGACAACTTACCATCACTTCTGCTTTTCTAGTTTTTGTCCAGTAAAATTGAATTAAAAATGAATCAGCTACATAAGTTCAGATAATCAAACAAATAGGATGTATACATATATTATTCCAACCCACCTGTTACAGTACATCTTTCATCAATTTTTGGAACTTTAGCAAATTCCCCATTTTCCTTCTCAAGATTGTGTCTCTTTGCACTACCTGAAGTTGAAAAAAAAAACGTTCATAAAAAAAAAGCAGATAAGTACAAACTTTAATCTACTCAAACTTTAATTAAATTTTATGTCTTGTACATGACACAACCCCCATCTAAGCTACATTATTGGCTCAAATGTATTTTTAAAAAATGGGGGCTTAATTTTTCAATGCTTAAGTGTCTGATATTCACTTTCAACAATTTTGAGTAATCAAATACATACATTTAATTCTCCTGAATATTAAAAGTGATTATTCTGTCCCTCCTGGGCAATTGTGGGCAGATTTTGTATGGGTCTAGCAGAATTCAACAATTATATGAAAATGCACATTTTATTGATATATTACTTCATTAAATATGCAATATAAACTCTTTGTTTTCTTATCGGTATTATTCAAAGAAAAATAGTCATTCTTTAGCAAACCAATGAAAAATTTAGAGTCTGTCACATTTTGATATATATATATATATATATATATATATATATATATATATATATATATATATATATATATATATATATATATATATATATATATATAAAGAAATCGAAGGGGGGGGGGGCATTTTTTATGTACAAACATCAATAACAGAATAGGGTAAATTTGGGAAAATACAGCAGAAATGTTTTTTTGTACTGTATACGACTAGGTTTAGTGACATTTAAGTATGCTGATTTTTATTTTCAAAATAATTACATTTATTTAGTAAATTAAGTTGGAAAAATGTCAAATTTATGTAATTTCAGCGAGATTGCACTAATTAATACACATTTTAATTACATTTAATTAATTAAAGCAAAACATGATTATAATTATGCGACAATACCCAAAGTATCAAATTCAAACAAATAATTCATTCTCTGCTAAAAAAATGGCTGAATCTTTTATGATTTATTATTCTAATGGTTCAAAGTCTTTGAAAATGTATGCAGGAAAAGAGTAACCCCCTTGCTCTTTAGTGAATATACCCAATTGTACAGATTTTAAATAAAAGAAACAGAGTAATTTTTTAAATTGACATATATAAATAAACCTTTTTATAGAAAAAGCAGACTAAAATTCATATTTCTAAAAATTGATGTATTCTTGAAGGTGGCAGAGGATAGTTTTTTTTTTTAAAATCAAAATGTTTGTCTGACGGTTTACTTAATATTGAGCTGCTTTTAAATTGTACATTGGAAAATTTTTAATTATCTCTACATGTAATAATAGTATGATCTAGTCCCTTGAGGAATTTGAAGCTTTTAGAAATAAAACATGAACAACTTACATAATGAGCCCTAATGATGGCACAGGTACAATCTCAAAATTTCATGTAAATTAAACCTATTTTCACTATTTCGCCCCAGTCGCAACTGCTTCCAGGCCCGTGCTAATGACCTAAGCTACCACATAAATTGCAGAACACTTGTAATTACCACTGAACAGCAAGAGATAATGGCTCAACCACCTTGTTTTCAAGCTACAATTCATAGTATGAACCCATCCGCTTTTCTGGAGAAATACCAGAAGTTTGATTTTTGATCTTAGTTTCGTATTTCTAGTTCATATCCCAGTGACACTAAAGTTACATATATTTCACTAAAATATACAAGCATGGCCATAACTTATGTAATGTAATTCAATTCATAGAATTGTCAAGATAATGGTGACAGAATTGTCATGAAAAAAGCTAAATATACATTTAGGGAGGAGGGTGTAATTCAAGGGTGGCGGACCTCACTATGTGTTTGCAGCTCATGCAAATTTATGCTACACTAAATACCTGTAGAGACGGACTTTATTTCAGTGAAGTTAGAGACTCCAGGTATTCCTTGCCCAGCTTCTGTTCTACATCGTTTGCTCAGCATCTCTGGTGAATATGACTTCTTACAACGTTTCAAAGGATCCTTCATCAACCTTATACTTCTTTTCTCTAAATCTGATAATCAAGATAAATATATAATATATTAAATTTTGTAATTTTTGAAGGAATCAAATAAAGAAGGGAAACACATTTTGGAAAGTAAACTAAGCATGAATTGGTTAAGGTGGGAAGGGAGGTTCCAAAGTTTCAGATAGGGTAGTTACCATTCCCTTCATAGACAGCATAGTATGTGCTTTGAATTGGCCTGTTAATAACTTTTAATTAACTGTTAAGCTAAATATTTATACCGTATAAGCAGAGATTTTAGTGAGGGTCTCATTTTGGCATTTTTAGCGAGGGTGTTGAGATCACTAAAATTAAATATTTCTAAAAATTTATTCATTTTTGTGTATTAGTTGGGTTTAGTTTTGTGTACCGGAGTTGACTCCTTATGCGAGACTGTTGACTTCTTGTGTACAAGTTGGTTTGCGTACGAGTCGTTTGTGTATGGGTTGACTGTAAATCTTATTGCTTGTATAATTTATTTGAGCTTAATATATTTACAATTGTTATACCCTTATAAATATCCATCTATATATTTATTACTAATAAAAAGTCCAACAAAAGATATGTTTATTACATCGGTCTAACAATTTCACTGTTGACCGGTCTTACATAAGAATTGTTAGACCGCAACGTCACTGTTAGTGTTACGTCACAAGTAATTTATCATCGTTCAATATCGGCGATGCGGAAATAGCCGAAGTTAGGAGCTACAAGAGTTGTTGCTAACAGCAAGGTAAGGAAGAAGGGAAGAATATTAATGTGATAAATAATTTTTGTGATACAATAAATATATGATTGATTTTGTTCTTTCTCACCGTGATGTTTTATTTACTGATTAAGCCATAATTTTTCATATATACAGTAATTGATAATATAGCGTGTATTGATTAAATTGATCAATCTTAACCCTTCGTGTGCGGGAACCCAATATACTGGGCCTGATGTCACAAACACTTGCGTGCGGGAACCCAATATATTGCGTCTGAGTCTGGAATTAGCACTTCGTCACATAAAACGTAGTGTAAAACATATAAATGAGTTGTGAATTATTCAGAATCTATCAATATGTATTATAAAACTACAATACATTGGAAAATAGGTGATTAAGATGTGAAGATATGCGAATTATTTGTGAAATTGTGATTTAAAGTGAAGGTGATTGGCGTTCGTTATGATGAAAGTCAGTCCGCTATTTTTGGAAACAGGGAAAAAACGCGCATGTAATACATGTAAATATCAACAATTTTAGATATTTGCATTTTAGTACACCATTGTGATAATTTTGTTGAAATTACAAAACAACTCAGTCCTTGAGGTTACAGTGCAGTAAAACAAGTCAGCACACAAAGGGTTAAGTGAGCAGTGAAGGGTATAACAAAACAGTTATAGACTGGGATTCGGGCAATTAACATATGATTTGTTGAACCTGAAGGTGAAAATTGTTGCCCTTGGCCTGCGGCCTCCGGCAACATTTTCACCTTCAGGTCCAACAAATCATATGTTGCCCTCATACCCAGTCAATAACTGTATATTACATTTAATAACTTTTTGTAGTTAATATATGTGTATTCTGAATTCAGATCACAAGTTTTGAAACAGTAGGGCTTCATATCAGTACATGTAACAATTAACATTACCTTGGGTTTCATTCATTTAATTTTTATACATTAATGGCATGTTTTCTTTATATTCACCAAAAAGTGTTGTAAAATTAACACACATCAAGAAAAGAATTAAGATTATAGGTAGTACCATTATTTACGGTACAATGAAATGTAAAAAAAATATCATTTTGATAAATAATATTATAGATAACAAACTCAAAATGCATTGACAACATCATGCTTTATAGTTAATGTCCATAAAAAATAAAATGATTTTAGGAAAACGAATTAGGACATGTATGTTACTAAGCCTAAAGACATTGACCAGAAAAGAAATAGATGATATATAAGCTTTTTGTAAAGACTAAAACCAATCCCAGCCCTGTAGGTCCAATTTCCATTTATAACAAAGTGTTCCTTAAAATATATTTATCCAACATTGTAAAGCAATACTATAAACAGCATCGTGCATCGATGGTAAATAATTGATGCCTTGTGTCTGAATTTTACCTTCTAACTTTGATGGGAAAGACTCCCCCATTTTTTTCTCTGGATCTGACATATCTGTATGCAGGCTTCAGCCATCTGAAATGATAAAATCATGAGGTACTTCTTTTTCTCTCTATCTTATCCCTTTTAATAACAATACAAGAGGCCCATGGGCCACATCGCTCACCTGAGAAGCTTTAACCATTCTGTTCTTTACCAGATTTCCCCCTTGTTATACATAATGCATCCCCACCCTACCCACTGATCATAATTAGACATTTTGAAATCTACACTACCCCATGATCCTTCCATGGGCACATATGTTTCAGCTTTTTTGGCCCAGTGGTTCCTGAGAAGAAGATTTTCAAAGATTTTTCCTATATATTTCTATGTAAAACTTTGATTCCCCATTGTGGCCCCGCCCTTCCCCCGGGGGTCATGATGTGAACAATTTAGAATCTACATTATACCAGGATGCTTCCACATAAGTTTCAGCTTTTCTGGCCCACTGGTTCTTGAGAAGAAGATTTTCAAAGATTTTTCCTATATATTTCTATATAAAACTTTGATTCCCCATTGTGGCCCCGCCCTTCCCCCAGGGGTCATGATGTGAACAATTTAGAATCTACATTATACCAGGATGCTTCCACATAAGTTTCAGCTTTTCTGGCCCACTGGTTCTTGAGAAGAAGATTTTCAAAGATTTTTCCTATATATCTCTATATAAAACTTTGATTCCCCATTGTGGCCCCGCCCTTCCCCCGGAGGTCATTATTTGATCAATTTAGAATCTACATTATACCAGGATGCTTCCACATAAGTTTCAGCTTTTCTGGCCCACTGATTCTTGAGAAGAAGATTTTCAAAGATTTTTCCTATATATCTCTATATAAAACTTTGATTCCCCATTGTGGCCCCGCCCTTCCCCCGGGGGTCATTAATTGAACAATTTAGAATCTACATTATACCAGGATGCTTCCACATAAGTTTCAGCTTTTCTGGCCCAGTGGTTCTTGAGAAGCAGATTTTCAAAGATTTTTCCTATATATTTCTATATAAAACTTTGATTCCCCATTGTGGCCCCGCCCTTCCCCCGGGGGTCATTATTTGAACAATTTAGAATCTACATTATACCAGGATGCTTCCACATAAGTTTCAGCTTTTCTGGCCCACTGGTTCTTGAGAAGAAGATTTTCAAAGATTTTTCCTATATATTTCTGTATAAAACTTTGATTCCCCATTGTGGCCCCGCCCTTCCCCCGGGGGTCATGATTTGAACAATTTAGAATCTACATTATACCAGGATGCTTCCACATAAGTTTCAGCTTTACTGGCCCAGTGGTTCTTGAGAAGAAGATTTTTTAATGACCCAACCCTATTTTTGTCTTTTCTTGATTATCTCCCCTTGCGAGGGGATATGTCGCTTCATTTTAACAATTTAAATTCCCCTTCACCTAAGGATGCTTTGTATCAAGTTTGATCAAAATTGGCCCAGTGGTTCTTGAGAAGAAGTCGAAAATGTGAAAAGTTTACAGACGGACAGACAGACAGACGGACAGACGGACGGACGACGGACAAAATGTGATCAGAAAAGCTCACTTGAGCCTTCGGCTCAGGTGAGCTAAAAAAACATGTAGAACCAATTTTTTTGTGTGAAAGAAAGTGCTATAATATTTCAGCATCTTAAAATTATAATTCATGGCAGAATCCTGTAATGCATTTTTTATGTCATTGTAATTCCAAAATAAAATGGCCATACTCAACATATTTTGTTAGGTCATGTGAGTCTTTTCTTCCATTATTGTCCATCGTGTGACATGCATCAAGAATAAATTAAGTGTTAACATATTTTTACGTTTTCAGCTTCATCTCTAAAAGGGCTGACTCAATTTCAACCAATTTTGGCGTTTAATCTATGGGTGAAGGGTAACAAAAATCATGAAATTTATGGCCCCTGTCTTCTTGGTATCTGAGGGATGGCCCTTAAACCATCAAAATTAATACAAGCTTTAAAAATCTTCTTTACTCCTGGACATCAAACAATGAAACATCTTGCATGATTGTAATGAGCACTGAGCCCTCTACCAAAATTGTGAAATTCATGGCCCCAGTGTCAGGGTTTCTGAAGGGTGGGGCTCTGTTGAATACATAGTGAAAATGCATTATTTCTTAAGGTAGTCCGATCCTCAGGTTTATAAAATTAGCAGTTAAGTAATCAAAAATACTCATAAAAGTATCTCTGAATCCACAAAGTTATGTAAATTTATCCACAGTATTTCTTTGAAGTTAAAAGATTAAAGTTATAACCATTAATTATATAGGGAAAATTGTCAAATCTCCAATATTTTTGCAGAAAAAGCAAACTCGAATATTAGCAATGCATTTTCTAATTCCAAATTGATCAACAAATATAATTTAGGTTATAAAAAACGATAGGTATCCAGGCATTCAGAGAATTTGTCATGATTTTTATACTAATATTTTATATTTCTTATATTCTATTTCCATCATATATTCTATAAAACATGTGTAAAAGGCTTTTGCTATCATTGCAAGATACCACAAATCACTTTTCATTTCATATCATGCTAATAAGCATTGGTATCTAAACCTGGATTCAGGAAAATCTTAGTTCTCTAAAACTGTATTAATTTTTTCGCCTTTTATAGGGTACAAATGTCAACTTTTATAGGACCTTTTCTAAGACTTCAAAATACCTTGAATCTAATACAGATGAATAAAATGAAAATTGTTGCATGAAAAAATTTCATTTTCAAGCTTCATTTTGATGCATTTCAAATTAAATATTAATTTTTGGAGTTATCCTTCCTGGTTGAGGATCGGATATCCTTAAACTATTATTAATCAGTAATAATCAGCAATAATTATCAGTTCCCTCACCCCACAGGAACCCTGACCCTGGGGCCAAACATTACAATTTTTCAAATATGCATCTTTGTTCATCATAAATGTTGATTAAAACCAAGGAACAAATTTTAAATATATAATCATGAGAGTCCCCCCCCCCCTGCCCTTTGTACCCCTGACCCAAGGGCCTTGAAATTCATAATTTTGTAAGAGACACCCAGCTTCCTTAAGATAACTAAGTAGGTAGTTCATCTCCATATACCCAGGAGCTGAAAGGAAGATTTTCAAAGAATTCATGCATTTTCTCTATATAATCAATAGAGCCCTACCCTAACACCAGAACCCCTGACCTTGTTTGCTAATTATCCATGAACAGAGAAGATTTTTGAAAGAATTAATCAATGTATTTTCACTACATAATCAAATGCAGCCCCACCCCCACCACCAAAACACCTGACCCTGGGTCAAAATTTCACAATTTTGGAAGAGGCATCCTTGATCATCATACCTATGCATTGTAGTTTATCTGCTAAATATACAAGGGAAGAGAAGATTTTTTACCCCACCTTAACTCCAGAACCCCTGATCCTAGGGCCATGAATATCATAATTTTTGCAGAGGGCTCAATGCTTATTACAATCCTGCCAATTGCAAGACTGCTTGATGTCCAGGGGTAAAGAAAATTTTTAAGATAATGTTAATGCTCATTTTTATGATTTTAAACCAACCTCTAAGGCCGTGAGGGGGGGGGGGGGGTCATGACATTCAAAATTTTCAAATTTTTGCTCCCCCTCACTTATAGATGCTTTTTCCCATAATTGGTTTGAAACTAGTTCAGCGGTTCCAGAGAAGAAGCTAAAAACGTTCAAATGTTAACGAACAACACAAGACCCTGAGTGAAAGGAGACCTAAAACAAGAGGCCCATGGGCCACATCACTCACCTGAGTGACTTTGGTGATGTCGTTCTTTATCAGAATTCCCCTTGTAATATACTTATTGTGGCCATACCAGCGGTTTTTGAGATGATTTTTAAAGATTTTTCCTATTTATTTCATGTAAAACTTGGATTCCATATTGTGGCCCTGCCCTATCCCCGTGGGTCATGATTTTAAGAATTTAGAATCTACACTACCCAAGGATAGGATGCTTCCACATAAGTTTCAGCTTTTCTGGTCCAGTGGTTCTTAAGAAGAATTTTTTTTATGACCCCACCCTATTTTTTGCCTTTTCTTGATTATCTCCCCTTGGGAGGAGACTTGGCCTTTCATTTTTACAATTTGAACTTCCTTTTACCCAAGGATACTTTATACCAGGTTTGATTAAATTGGTCCAGTGGTTCTTGAGAAGAAGTTGAAAATATGAAAAGTTTACAGACGGACGGATGGATGACAGACAATAAGTGATCAGAAAAGCTCATTTGAGCTTTCAGCTCACTAAAACTTATTTCTTGTTTTTTGAATTCATGGATTTATTAACACTGTGAACATAACAAATATTTACAATATAAGTTATTTTCCCTCTAAACAGTACTTTTAGCAGAATTATACGAGGAAACCCCTTGACCCCCCAAAATAAAATTTTTCATAATTTTATGAAATAGTTCTATAATTACTCATTTTGAATTAGGAATTCTGCTCTATATAAAAGCAGCTTTGGCCAGTTTTAGAGAATTGTTCATGATGTGGGATAAATGATGCAATTCATGATGTCATAATATTCATGGATTCATGTGATATATTCAATGCATTAATTGTCAACTGAAACTGCACAGTTTTGATTTTTTCAGAAATCAACAAGGCTGAAAAGGCTTTAATGAATTAAACCTAAGACTAGTGCTCTGTTGATCAGAAAAGCTCTCTTGATCCTCTTGCTCAGGTGAGCTAAAAACAAAAAGAATTGTATACCTTGATGTACAAGTTTAAATCAGACCAAAACTTAAAAATGTAGCATTTTAAAAGCAAATTTTCAGAAGTAACCATGGACATTCAACTCAGTTAAGTAAATCAGGGTTTTATAAGTATAGGTTACATCATAGATGCCAAGTAGTATAAATATATCGTTTTCATGGGGTGTGGAAATCGAGGGCGTGGAGCGCCCGAGATTTCCACACCCCATGAAAATGATATAATCATTACTACTCGGCAATCTATGATGTAAGCAACTTGTTGCATGTCTGATGACGTAAATTTCATTGAGAGTGTCAAAAGTGACCTGGTTTCTGCCTACTGCAGTGATATATGAAGGGGTGTGGAAAGTATCATCACATATGTGATGTGGGATATATCACCACAGAGAGATCAAAGAAAATCACTGCAGGTATGCAACAAAAAGAATTATGCATCTTGGATTCCGGTAATGGCGCCCGTTCGAGTAGGCCGAGCTTAGTGATGGAGAGGTAGAGTGGCCATTATAGCACATAACTCAATAAGTTTGGTGTCTTGGATGAAGTAGTTATAATCAAGTGTGTTCAGAGATTCGGGACTGTTATTTTTGGAGACCTAAAGTGCAAAATGATGTTTTTGTAGGAGTTTTCAGTCCAAACTTTGACGTGAGTAGTTATTACTATAAATAGTTACATGTCCAAACCTGTTATATGAGTATTAACACAATAGACAAATACTTGACTATGTCGGCCAGTGGTGTTGTTACCAGAAATTCGAATTCTAACTCACGCAAGTCAACAAACAGTCCTATCTCTAAAAAAAACATCTCAGACTCCAAATAACTATAATCAAAAACAAGAAAAACAAGAGAAATCGGAAAGGCATCGGAGAGACCGTCAGAGGAAATGCTCTTAATTCAGACGCAACTTACTGAAATAAAAAAAACAATCTGAAAAAATCAGTCAAAGTTGACGACATCAGGGATATCATCAAAAAATGTCGTAGAGGAATTACTCTCCAATCATTTAAAGAATTTTGAAAAGAAAATGAACGACCAAATTTTGCAACTAAAACAAGACAATCAGAAGCTAACTCACGATATTGAACAATTAAAAAAAGAAAATTCGGAGCTTAAGAGGGAGCTAAATGAAAGCAATGACGCTCTAAATGATGTGCACAATAGAGTGGAGAAAGTAGAGAAGTTATTTAAAAGCGCTGCTGCAAAAGCAAATTTTAATGAATAGTATTCCAGAAAAACAAATATTAAGTTTCGTGGGTTTCCCGAGGCAAAAGATGAAAACTTATTAGAAGAGATTAATGAGGCCTTAGGGGAAGTGGGTGTGGCTATATTCGAAACTGATGTGATAGCGATGCACCGAATTCCATCAGGACAAAAGGACCAGCCCCAACCAATAATTGTCAAATTGCGCAGCCCTGATGCTAAAGAGACTATAATGAGAAAGAGAGCCGACATAAAAGAGCTGAAACGGGTGGAGAGTCGCAGACGACGTGACACGGGACAACGCTATGTTGATATCCTAACTCAGTGACGACCCTAGAATCGACACTGCTTGGTATTTCAACGGTGCAGTATATGGACAATACGGGAAACGCAGAATCAAGTTTGATATTTTTGACTCCATTGAAGAAAGAATTCGGAAAAAGTGACTCCGTTCGGAATTCCTTTGCAATTTAAACGGCCATGAACACTTCCGGTGATGAGTGACATAGTAGCTGGGTAAACAAAAATAAAATGTGCTATTAATGAGCCACTCAGGTGTGTACAGGAATTACATTTCTTTAATTTTTTGTGTCTTTGTGATTTTCTTTGTCAGTGTGTGAAAGATGTATGTGTGAATTGAGTTGGGTTAGAAATAGTATCATAATTTTACAAAAATAGATGGTCCATGTGGAAATGTCTTTTTAATGTGTCCTATAGTAACTCTTAATATAATTACTAATTGAATATGCATTGCATATTGCGTTTATGTATTATATACGTATACTGAAGTGTATCTATCCTTATGTATGTGTAACAGGAGAGGAGAAAATGCAGCGGACCATACCGGGATTCGAACCCGGGCCCCCTGAAATTCTGGTCAGGTGCTCTACCAACTGAGCTATCTGGCCACCGGCGATCGAACCCGGCTGACCGCCACATTCCTCCCTCCTTAAAGGTCTTTGGCCCTCCAAAGACCCCAACCCAGGCTCATCCCTGGCAGGTCTTTCACCTGTCAATTCCAGGGCACCGCACGGCACGGCACCAAATGTAACGGGAGAGTAGAAAATGCAGCGGACCAGACCGGGAATCGAACCAGGGCCCCCTGACACTCCGGTCAGGTGCTCTACCAACTGAGCTATCTGGCCACCGGCGATCGAACCCGGCTGACAGTCACATATGTATACTAGATGTTTATTCATGTGTGTATTTGTATTTTTCCAACAGGTATGAGAGTGTGGGAGAGAGAGGTGTATATCTCTTGCAATTACTTAAATAAAAAAAAAAATTAAAAAAAAAAAAAAAGAATTATGCATCTTGAAGCACTCTCCTTGTGTGATAAATTTTAGCACAATTAGGTGTGTGATAAATTTTAGTACAATTAGGTGTCACATTAGGAAAAATTGATTACAGACATGTGGATGGGTAATGGATATCTTGCCTTCTGGACATTGACAGCTGAAAAAACACCTTCTTTAATATTTTTTTACTCAAGGAGATGACCCCCCCCCACTTATTTAAGTTACCAACATGACTTTGGATCCCCACCCATTCCCTATGATACAAGAGCCCAGTTGAGCCAGTTGGTAATATGAAAAGACTTAATATATACATGAATTTAGAAAGTACCGTAACCAACCAACTCCCTCTCAAATATAGTTATGTTAGTGACCTACAAAGACTATGACTAAACAAAACTATTTAAAACTCACAGATAAAATATCGATTAATTCAACAACCATCATCCGAATGTTAAAAAACAAATATTGAAATGATAGTTGAAACCTTTCCAACTAATTTTAATCCATTAAATTAGTTGTTTGGGGATGAAAATCAACTAACCAAGAAAAAAAGCCCCAGGATCCATAATGACAGCCATTCTGAAAAATAAGGTCAAGGTTATAAATGTTCCCTGCACATGCGTGGATGCTTGATGACAAGTCCTAACACTTTCACTTGAATTTCTCACTTTAGCTGCATATAATCATCAGACAATGGTGCAGGAAACAATGTGGAAGTTAAAACATTCAACAATGTAGTTGTCATTAGCTACTCCCTTATTTTTTTATACCCACCTTGAAGTGAATGTGATAATATTCCTCAGTTACAAAAATAATACCCAAATAGCATAGATATAGTCAACAAAAAACCGCTTGGTTACAATGATTTAAACATTGTCATTCAAGTAAATATGTATTCATGCATTGTTAATGATCGATTTAATGGTTAACGGTTTTTGAAAATTAGCTTTCGGTTCTACTTCCGAGAATATCTAGCTAATATCTCAGACAGAATGTCATTTGATCTCTATTTTGATTGTTAACGAAAATTTTAACTGTCAAGTTTTTACCCGATAAAATCATTTATGTCTTTCAAGAGTTTTTTCCAAGGCATTGATCGTAACTATATTTAAAAAATGACACTGAGCATAACTTTAAAGGCCAAAGGCAATACATATGTATCATGAATTAATTCAAAGTTTTACATGGGAGTATATATGGAAAATCTTTTAAAATATCTATAATCATCAGATTACTGCTTGTTTAATTATACCTGATTGACCTGATACAACAAGATATGGCAAATGGCAATGCATTATCTGATATAATTTTTTATTAAAATTTACTTGATGAAAAGGAGTCCATAGAACATATGCACTGTAAGTGAAGTGAAGTTGATTCTTGTTCTGAAATCATTTGTGACTGATATCTTTATCAATCTGATCATTTTCTCTGATAAAGCAACAATTTTTGCATGAATTTTGTTCTAGAAGTCCTTCTGGCCAGGTCTGTTTCTAAATAAAATCATGATTAAAGCAAAATTCAGTTCAGTACTGAAAAGTTTAGATATAAAAGTGGGTTTGGGGAAAGGGGGTGGGGGTATTCGAACAAACTTAAATCTTTACTTATTTTGATGCTTTTATATTGATGATCAATCATGTCTTTGTTGTTTTTGTGAAAGATCTTAATTATTATTACCCCCCCCCTCTTTGAAAACTGGGAGGGTACTTAGTAATCGGTATGTCCGTGTCCGTCCGTCTGTTACGCTTTGGGGTACTCATCTCTTATCCACAATTCCTCTAATACCACAGAATGATTGTGGATAAGAGATGAGTACCCCAAAGCGTAACAGACGGACGGACACGGACATACCGATTACTAAGTACCCTCGAGAATTTTTTCATGCACTCATATGGAGAAGCCACCACTTGCCGATTGGAGAGCTGCAAATTTTGTCCTATACTCAGCACCCCGGGCCATTGAGCAGGGAGGGATCTTTTTCGTGCCAGCACCTACTGTGACAGGGACCTCTAGCTGTTTATACGGTCTCATCTGAAAGACCGGTCTCCATGTCCCACAGTGGGATTCGAACCCGCAACTTAAGGATCAACTCCTTACTTTGCAACTCTAGAGCGCTCTAACCACTGCGCCACACAGGCGACCACCACTGAATGAAATTTGATGAAACTTTATTACATACTGCCATTGTGCACCTCCTATTTTAGTTTTTGATCCGACACATATTTTGGGTTTCCCACAGCAAAACATAGACACTGCCATAGTATTCATGTAGGAGGTGGGGGTATCAATTAGTGAGCTCATTGCTCATAGTACCCAGTCGTGGATTTAAGGGGGGCGCACCCGGCGCGCGCCCCCCCCTTAAATTGTCAAAGTTAACGTAAATCTCAGTTTCATCTAAAAAAATCTCTAGAATCCAGGAGCTTCCGGGGGCTTCACCCCCTGGGCCCCCACCAGGGCTTCGCCCTGGACCCACTGGGGGCCTCAAGGCGGCCCCCAGGCCCCTTGCCTATTTTTGCCGCCCCCTCTAACTTCAATTCCTGGATCCGCGCCTGGTACCTCTAGTTTTTCCTATGTATTCCAACATAAAACCTTGATCACCCATTGTGGACCCACTTTACCCCCCGGGGGTCATGATTTGAACAAACTTGAATCTACACTACACTACGCTTAGCCCCCCCCTGCCTTTTTTGCAAGGAAATTGGGATTAACCTTTTTTTGTTGTTTGATACCCCCCCCCCCCCCCCCCCCGATTCCGACGCCTTTGTATTCGGTATCAAATTCTCGAATATTTTACAAACAAATATTTCAAATTAATTTAGGCACTCTCCAATATCCAATTCTCTTTAGAGAAGTGGAAACGCTTTCGCCTACATCCACATGGATGTAGGCTCCTTTCCACTTCTCTAAAGAGAGTATCCAATATCCCAGTTCGAAGCAGGTTTTATATGTCTCTGTTCGAAGTTAGCCAATTTATAATTTATATATTGCAACTGGAGAAAAAGTGGAAAAGGGGAACATGCACCCAACAACATGTTGATATAGAATTACCTTGTTTTTATGACAGTAGGGACCTATATATATACTTAATGACAGTTACCGCCTTTTTGGACTTGCACATGTGTTTATTTACGGTCACCTAAATGTTTGTAAAAGGTCTCAAATATTGATAAGCGCTTATTTGACATAGATGCGTTCAAGTTTTTTGTTGTCCAAGACAAATCCGGAAAAAGATGTCGACCGGGTTTTTATTTTCATGATTGGTGAAGGGTGTTGTAGGAAAATTGAATCGTTAACCAAAAGAAAAAAGTTGGCCTTATCAGTTATTACAGACCAATTCATTCATATCATGTTATCATGAAACAGGAGGTCCATGGGCCACATCGCCCACCTGAGCACTTTGGCAAAGTAAATAAGTAAGCATGTAAATTTTATCGGCATTGTATACAATGTATAACAAGAAACATGAGCTCTGCAGAGCTCTTAAACCGACTATCACAGTTAAAATATCACAAGAAAACATTTACAACATAAATTAACATGCAAAAACACATGTCATATATATACACATACATATGGCAGATAAAACGATTTTTGAAAAAGTAAACCGTTAACGAATTTTAAGAATAAATAATTTTTTAGAATTAGTTAAAAAAAAAAGAAGACAAACTTGAAAAGCAATATGATTGCATTAAAAGGAACAAAAATAAAAATAATGTGAATATTATAAAATAAATAAAATAAAAGTCATATATGACTTTATAAAGTAATATAGATTAAGCACTACGTTTAACCCATAAAGTCAGATTAAAGTCAGACGAGGAAAACTAAGCTATAGAAGTCTAATTTCAAAGTCAGCGCTTCTCGCAAAGAGTTCATGCATTTACTTACAAAGAAAAATCAAAGTACTGAAAGTACTGGGAAGCGCTAAGCATGGCTTGCATTTGAAATTCATCAGAATTTAAAATTCTTATTGCATTGGAATAAGTACATGTAATATTTTGACGGTGCAGCTGTAAAGGGGGGGGGGGGGGGAGTCAGTTGTTTAATTGAAATAAACCCAGCTCTTGATTGACTTGACTGTTACATTAAATAACATCGAATGTAAGTTGTATTACTATAACAAAGTTTTTAAATATGCAAAAAAAAAAAAAAAAAAAAAAAAATTAACAAAGAGAAACTTATTTACTATCTCTGTGCAATTTTATTAAAGCAAGTGGGTTACTTTTATAACCTTTCTTTGTTTGTCGCCCCATAGGGCAGTAACACAGTTACCCGTCCGGAAACAAGATTACTTGTGTTGCATTGTGGGTCCAGGTTTCTGCGATAAAATTAAATTTATATCAATGTTACTGTACAATTTTTTTCTTCTGACTCATCTCATTTCAGAATATGTATATAACTCTACATTAGCTGGAAAGCTGGGTTTTTGGACAAATTTTGAATACCTAAGATGTTGCTGATATCCTTATCTTGAACGTAAAGTGGAAAACACAAAACTTTTTAGTGAAATTTTGAACAATAAATCATTCTACTTTCAAGAACATTATTCGTACTTACTAAAATTCAAAATTGACTGTTGGCGACCGTGCCCGTCTTTGTTATTATCGGCCGCATAGGTGATCTATTGGCGGTTGTGTTTGAAAGTGCACAGGGAGAAATGAGATATTATTTTTTTTATTTGTTCCATTAATACATCCTTAATTATAACATATAATCAGAATTATGAATGAAAGATTTTTAAAATGCCTTAAAATTTTGTTTGAACTGTTTTTATTTAGTCATAGATATTTATAAAGTTATAATTTTTATATATATAAACGGTTTTACAAAAAGAAAAAAAATCCTAGCATGGGAACTTGTAATATAAACACACAATCAATAAAAGTTACTGGGTATACAAATAATGAATAAAAATTAAACTTTTAAATTTCGTATTGAATATGCAACAGTTGAATAGCACAACAATTTTTTTTTTTTCAATATTTCTCATTAATTGTGATACTAATCCCTATTCGTGCAGCATCTTGAAATCAACATGTAACAAAAATCCCCGCAGACTTTACTTTTTTTCATAACATTGCTATAATATCAATTTTGGGTATAAGGATATTGCATTAAAGAACGAGGGCGCTTTTCATTGGCATTCGGCAGGAATCTGGGCGTACCCGGTAATTGAAAAGTGAAAATTTTATCGACATGTCACATGAAATTTTATGATTTTTTTATTTATCGGGTTCCTGTGCAACAGGAAAGGAAAATATTTTCCCGAAATTCAGCTTTGATTTGCTAAAAACTAACTTGAAAATTGGCCAGATCAGACATTTGGTACAAAATGGTACATTTTTAAACACGTTTTTCTAAATTTTTTCTATCTCTGGGTCTTAAATCTCTCCATGATTTTGAAACGTTATTTGTGTGTATTTTAATTCAAAGAAACGAATACACTTTTTTAAAAAATGGAGAGAAGACCCAGAGATCACGAAAAACGAACTTTTCCCCAAAAAATCCAAATGTGTGAATATGGTGCTTCTTTGTCCTTTTAAAATCATCTGTGAATGTGTAGCGGTGGTAGCTCAGTAAGATGGGCTACCTGTTCATTGCACTGAAC